GTTTGAAGTTTGGGGCTTCGGGGTTTTCAGGTCGCAGCCCATGGGAGTTTGGGGTTTAGGGGTTTAGGATTTAGGGGTTAGGGTTTTAGGGGTTTAGGGTTTAGGGCTTTAGGTTTTAGAGTTTCTTCTTCGGCCTTGCTGGAGTTCGATTTTAGAGTTTAAGGTTTAGGGCTGAAGTATATTCTGCAACCCCTTGGGCCCTGTAGAGCTGTAGCGAGCCACACAGAAATCTCTTAAGCCCGTAGCCAGTTTAGGAACACACCCTTCAAACCTAAACCCTCTCCATCAAAAGCTGAATCAAGGTAAAGGTAGACATAACGGTCTTGTAGAACAGATGTATGGCACTCCCGTCTAGAGCCCTCCTCAACCCTACACCCTAAACCCTCCTCATATATCCGCTCCTCGTTCGGGTTGTAACACCGGGCTACCGAAGAGTCGAACTTCGCCAGTTCGCCCAAGGAGACTTGGCTCAAGGGCATGACCTGGGGGTTGAGGGTTTCATGAGTTTAGGGTTTAGGGGTTAGGGGTTTAGGGGTTTAGGGGTTTAGGGTTTAGGGTTTAGGGGTTTAGGGTTTAGGGTTTCCCCTAAGGCTCCATGTACCTTTAAAGGGTTCTTATAGGAGGTTTAGGGCTTAAGGCTCCATGGTACCTCGGTTACGTTTCGAGGGATTCCTTCAGGGTTTGTACCTTGAAGGGCTCTTGTAAGGGAACTATGAGGGTTTCTTCTGGGGTTTCTGTAAGGGTGCTATGGGGGTACTTGGAGGTTCATGAGACTTACTAAGTACAGCTGTAAGTACCTTAACTGGGGTTTTAACTAATTATAGTCATTATAGGTACAGGTACCTCATTCATAACCGCAGTTACTAAGTCCCATTGAACCTTTAAGTAAGAGCGCTACAAGAGCCCTATGAGAGTACTGTAGGATTGCGGGTTCTGCGGTCTGGGGGCTTAGGGACCCAGGTTAGGGGTGCAAAGCTTCAGGTTTAGATGCGCCTGTTAACACCCTTAATCCGAATCCTAGAGAAGAACATTTTAGAAGACTGTACTCAAAAGGCAAGTAACCACCAGCTGCTTCAGCGCCATCTCTAGCGACATGAAGGATAGCCTGGGATTGTTTACGCTTTGCGGGTTTGCTAATGCCTGATTCACGTAACTTTGGACGGGCATTAGTGCTTAACTACAGATAAGCAGAGGGGATCTAGGTAGGATCCGGAGGTTCGGATTGTAAGCTTTAGGACCTAGCCTTAGCAGATGGAGCTGCTTGGACACCTGCTCGCGCATGCAGCCGAAATGCAAAACACAAAGTTCCCAAGCACACCAAAGACGGGTAGGATAGGTGCGTCCACAAAGCACAAGGACCTGAGCTGTAACGAAACAGTGCGAACATGATGTCGGTGGAAGCGTTTGCATATGCACAGTCGAGCAAAGCTAAAACTGCATGGGCTAGTGATCGACTGCACAAAACAAGGCACCTTCCTGCAAGCCATCACGTTCACCGGCAGCACGCGAAGGCCGTCAGCCACGTCACGCTGATCGATGCAGAACTTGTCTACCCAGAAGGTGGGATATCTCCCATGCTGAGCGTAGAACATCTCTGCCACTAGCTGAAGGGCCCGCCACTTCCTCGTGCTGGCTCTGGGAAATCAAGATGGCCATGGTCTTTACTTCGGAAGGCAAAAACTGTGGTAATTAACGAAATATATGTGTGTGTATATATATATATATGTGTATGTATATGTATCTATGTACAATATATATATATATACATCTATATATATATATACACACACAGTCTCACATCTACCTACCCATCCGTCCATTCATCCATCCAGCAACCCATCCATCCATCGATCCATCCATCCATCTATCCATTCATCCACACACACACACTCCAAAGGTAGACATGTAGAGAGATCGATCGATAGATAGATAGATGGATGCATAGATAGATAGATAGATAGATAGATAGGTAGATAGATAGATAGATAGATAGACAGATAGACAGACAGACAGACAGACAGATAGAGAGAAAGGAAAGATAGATAGATAGACACGCAGACAGGCAGGAAGACAGGCAGACGGAAAGACCAGCACAAACATACAAGAAAGAACAAACCAAAGACACATAGAAAGTAGAAATAAACATACACGCAGAAAAATAGATAGAAACACGATAGAGAGATAAACAAACAAACAAATAGACAATTGCAGGCAGGCAGGCAGGCAGGCAGGCAGGCAGGCAGGCAGGCCGGCCGCAGACGTGCCAGACAGATAGATAGAGTGGATGTTGCACGCGCACCCATTCGCTGCAAAACCCTTCGTTCTGACATGCGTCCTCTCTGGCCCATCCGACCACGAGTGAGACACAAAGAAGTCGATGACTTCTCCCTGGGACGAGGGCCCCCAGAACCGAATGTAAAGCCCTTACAATTATAAGCCCTTGCCTAAAGGTTCACGGGGACTTAGTAACTAGCAAAAAAAAGGCAACCGTAGTTATAACTACCTTTAACCCTGATTAAGGTACTTATAAATCTATAACTTACAAGTCCTATGAACCTCCAAGTACGGTTACTAGGTGAAAGCACATGAGCGCGCCCAGACCTTGGCCACTTGCCGGGAGAGCCTGAAGCCGGGACCGGCGCTCTGCATCCAATCCGCGGGCCCCTGAGAGACCCAGTCAACCTGGACGCTGCACCGGCCCGGTTTAGGGCTTGGGGTTTAGGGTTTAGGGTTTTGGAGGTTTAGGGGGTTTAGGG